ATATGATCACGACCTACAGGGTTCACGGGTACAACTATGAGGATCTACTATATATGTCACCCTTGTATCTCCGTTCGAACACTGTTAGTATTTGGGAGATGAGCTTTGAGCTATACCTTGACCCGACACAGTGGCCACCTTATAATGGTTACGACTACATGTCGCATCCGGATCTAATGAAGGTAGGGAAGGGTAAGAGGAAGAAGAAGTGACTCAATGGGGACATGGAGGCTATGAAAGGGTATGGCAAAGACATGTACGGAGGGGGAGACTTCAACGAGACCCATGGCAGGAATCTTTGCTCCGTTTGCAAAGACCCTGCTCACAAGGCTAGCAGGCATAGAAGATGAGGGCAACAGGTCCATACATAGAAGTTGCTCATTTTCCTAGTGAAGTTGTTTAATATGTTTGTTAATGTTACTTTGAATATATACATGTGCTTTCATATTGTGTTCGTATTGCATAACAAGTAGTTCAAATTTTGCAATGCTACATATGTTAATTTGAATATTGTTAATTTGAATACTCTAATACTTTGTTTATCAATTTGAAACAGGATGGCCCATCCCACGCAACACCAGTTATACCCCCTTCTTGAGGTGGAGTATGACGACCCATAAACACCGGCAACGCGACCACTCCCAATGTGTTGCCTACAAATCCGAAGAGACAGAGGCGTCCGAGGGATCCTTACACTCCTGGGACTTAATTGGTTATGTCGAACTTATATCGAACGAATATTGTCGTCCGAAACTTGCAGACTCATGAACCAATGAAAATCTGAGTACATGATAATCAGAGTACCAATACATGGGTACAATACATCAATAGTTCAAATGGAAAACAAGACAACACAATGAAAGTTCTAGTACATAGCAACATTGATCATTAATAAAGCATAGAACTAACAGACGGCGCAATCAAAAACCCTCAGTCCGAAATATACTGTGTAAGCAACTCGTCGTCCGAGTACCAATCCTCGACCACAACCCTGTTGCTGTAGCTAGGGTCACCTGCATTGTCCTGATCTGCCTTTCGCCTGCAGTAAGCAGCCTGTGCTTCATCTATGGCCTGAGACAAGAATACGTTCTCTTCCTCCTCGTTCATGTGGCTAGGCTCACCTGTATTGCTCTGACTTGCGTGTCGCCTGTAGTAAGCGGCCTCCGCTTCATCTGCAGCCTCTGCGGCCTGAGTGAAGAACGCATCGTCATCCTACTTTGCCTACAAGCTCGCCTCTGCTAGAGCGACGAGCTCGCTCAGTCTGCTAGTGTCGTCCTCGGCCTCCTACGCCTGCAAGCCCACCTCTGCTAGAGCGATGAGCTTGCTCAGTCTGCCAATGTCATCCTCAACCTCCTCCGCCTGCAAGTCCGCCTCTGCTAGAGCAATGAGCTCTCTCAGTCTAGAAGTGTCGTCCTCATCCTCGTCCCCCTCATCAGACAACACAATCGGTGATTGAACGGTGCGACCAGCTCACGTTCTATGTTCATCTAACTTCTTTTCCTCATACCTTGCACGAGCCACCTCTCCGTCATGGTCCTCGCTGCATCCAATCCCTTCATGTATAAAATGCAATCAGTTAGCAACGCGATTATATTACATTTAAAATCAAGCAACAAAAAATGGCTTTCAAGCACTCACTGGCACATAATGCAACAACATGCTCGTTTAAGACCTGCATATGTACTCTTGTCTCCTCCCTTGCCTCCTTGCTTGCCCTCTCCTCCTCTAACACCCTCCGTCTCTCCAATCCCCATTTGTCAAGCCCAACATCGATCGGGTTACGAATACCGCGCTGTCTAGCAAACTCACGCATCTTGTCTTTGTGATGTTTAATGAATAGGTTGACGTAGTCAGGTCCATATCCCCTCTTCCGTACAATTACTTGCCTCCCCTTCAGTTCATCCAAGAAATTACCTTGATCATCATAACATTCCCACTTGCATTTCCTAGTCCTCTGTTCAAATGAAAAATTATATCATATATGTCTTAGCAAAAGAAACAAAATACGATTTCATGTTTACCACAAAAATAACCAACCTCATCATAGTCAACCATATGGCCGTAATAATGGCCTATTCCAAGCTCCGAAGGGACTAGGCCATAGTTGGATTTAACACCACATTCGCACATAACAGGAGGTGCTTTGTAAATTACCCTTTCTTTCTTCTTTTCCTTAACCTTTGGCGGTTCTTCTGGCCATTGGTTCTTAGGACCATATAACCACTCCTTGAAACGACACTTCGCCATTGAAAACACCTAAATCAGGTGACATTAGTGCATGAACTCATATAGCTCAACATTTGAACACATACACTTTGTACTTACTTCATATTTGTTTGGACACATAAACTCCAACGTATTCTCAGAGTTTATCACAACTTGATCTCCGCAATCGCATAGAGGAGGTTCCTCGAGTCGTCTAACTACAACTAAGTGCTTTTCCTTAGCCGTCATTGGAGGGGGGTTAGGGGGAGGTGGAACCCACCGCTCTAAGTGCTCTGGTGGATGTCGCCCTCTCCACCAATCGTCGAAAAAGAGGTACCTAGGGTCAAACTTGTCTGCACCGTCGATCCACTTAAAGAAAAAGCACCTCTCATGGGCCTACACAATAAAATTCCAACAAAATATTAGTAACCTTGTAATACAAATGAAGAAAAAAAACATACGGAAACAATTACTTACATTAAGGCGACTGCATGTGTAGAAGCAACGAGCCGCTGTGTCCGGATGTCTCGATTGAAACATGTCGACCGGACGACCACAGTCACAGATAGGGACAGGGAGGTTAGGAGGGACGGGGGTATCTTTGATAGACTCGTCGGGGTACAATTCTCTAGAACGACCCCGTTTTCGCCACAACTGCTCCTAAAACATGTCTTCCATCTAATAAAACGGTTTAAATTAAAAATCAATCAAAACAACGCAAATTAATATAAAATATAATCATTTGCATTGCAACTCAAATAAATATAACCAACACTTATAGCAACAAAAATATACATGGTAAACATACTTCTAACTAAATAATTAACCTTAACATCGACAAAATCAAATTAATATCTTCCTCCAAACCATAGCCCATAGTTCCCAAACATAATTTTTCTCTGAACCTTAACTCCCATTCATAATATTTCAATCCACCATTCAAACGAAAATAAAAAGTGTGTCATTACCTTGAACGAGGCCGAGGAGGAAGGCGGCCAGGGAATGGAAGGGAAGGGAGGGAGGGAGGTGGCAACAGAGGGTCAGGCGCCGACAGCACTTGGGAGTGGCGGGCAGGCGCGGCGGGCGCGAAGGCGCGGCGTGGAGGCATCCAGGCGCGGCGGGCGCGACAGGCAGGCAAGACTGGGCCGCGGGCCTTTAGCCGGCTCTACCGCGCCACAGCTCAGGGCGCATCACCGCCGCGCCAAGATCAGTGGCGCGGAAGCCGGCGACGTCATCGGTCAGCGCCCCGATCGTCGCCACGTCATCCCTCTCGCCGCACCACCATGCATGGCGCGGCACAGGCGTTTCGTCGCGCCAGGGAAATAGGCGCGGCAAAAAGTGTTTGTTTTGGAGAAAAAAAATTAAAACAGTGTTAGATTTAAAATTAGTTTAAAAAATGTTAAAAATAAATAAAATTTCCCCGTTGGCCATCTTCTCGGGGGCCTCCTGCACTGAGACGAGCGCTGAGGAGGACGACGCCGACGGCGAGAAGTTCTTTGTTAGGGCGGCGAGGCGTGGTGGTCACGCGTAATGCGCCGGGCGCCATGGTGGACGACGACGTCGACGACGGCAGGCACTCCATGCTGAAGCACTTCTTCATGGCCATGGGCGACGACCCCACGTTCAGCTGCACCCCGAACAGCCTCACGCCGCCTCCTCCACCGCTGCCGCCGTTCTTGAAGACCAGGGGCGTCGTCCTGCCGTGCCCGCTGTAGGTCCTCGAGTTGTGGCCATTGTTCCCACAGCTAGAGCACTTCCTAGCCATGGACGGCCCGGCACGGCGCACGGCGGCGACCGACAAGAAAGCTAGCTAGGTGCGGTGGAGCCCTGGAGGAGGAAACTGACGAGGAATGGAATTCTATGGCCTCGATCGGTCTCGGCCGGGAGGGATAAGCAGTCTGTTCGTTTGGTCGTGGCTTGTCGTAAACGATCGTAAATTTCTAGCCGGAACAATATTTTTCTCTTATACAAACCAGCCAGCAGTACTTCTTCACGAACCAGCAACGATACGAACTAGCCAACCGAACAGGCTGAAGATGTTTGTGAGGGGGAAGAGGAGGGATGTTTGCATTGCATCTGGGCTGGGGGCTCGCCTCGGCTCTGCTTAATATGGGAATGGGGAGGAAGAAAGATGTGGCGCTTGGCTGCGACTAGCGAATTGCTGGGGAGCCCACACCTGGACACCCCATGACGGCGACGCATTGGCATCATCCTCCATCCTCCGTTTAATCTCAGATGCGCCTAGTGAAACAGCGCTTAGAATCCGCAGAAATCTGCAAACCCAACCTGGGGTGTGCTGCTGCTCCAAGATCGGTGGCGCGGAAGACGGCAGGCGCGGGCGGGCGCGGTGGTATTTATGTGACTCTGCCACGTCATCGATCAGGACGCGATAGAGCCGCGCCAAGGTTGTCGCCACGTCATCCCTCTCACCGCGCCATCATGCATGGCGCGACACAGGCGTTTCGCCGCGCCAGAAAAATAGACACGGCCAAAAATGTTAGTTTAAAAAAAAATTAAAACAGTGCTATATTTAAAATTAGTTTAAAAAAGTGTTAAAAATAAAATAAAAAATCGAGAGAGAAGGGGCGGAACCCGCGACATCTTTGGACGAAACTACCACGAAACTACCCCGCGGGCGCACCCGCTGTCCGCTGACCCGGCCGTCATTTGGGTGTTTCGGCGCTGACCCGCCCCTTCTCCCGCTATAAAAGGGACGCATCCAGCAGCACACACATCCACCCATCACACCTGATACTCCTCATCAGTTCCAGGCTCCAAACCAGCCCCCCGCACGAATGGCCAACCAGGGAGAGCTGCTGCCTAATCACGCCGACGTCCAAGCACAAGCAGGCCACCGCGACCACCGGCACTACAACCTCCTCAACGCCGCACGCGCGCTGATGCTGCTAGGAGCAGCCGCCGCCGTCTCAACCTCAACCGACGCTGACGCCGCGTGGGTCTTCCTCGGTCTCGTCACCTGGCTGCTGGGCGTGTGCCTCCTTTCTTTGGTGCCAGTGGCAGGTCGGTTCCCACAAGCTGATCGTTTGGCCGGCGCTGCCATTGCCAATGCCGGCGCCGTTGTCAGGCGCTTCTTTATCCCATGGAACTAACTTTATTATGTTGCAGGCGCGCAAGTGAAGAGGCGGTGGTGGTACGTACGTGTACGTTAGCGTGCTTTATTATGTTGGTCAATAAGGATGATCTAGATACCCATTATTTACTTTCGTCGTTTCCCTTTCGAAGCATGTATGTTTGTTCGGGTACTAGTATTTTTTTTTGAAACTTCGGGTATTAGTATTTGGTCAAACTTGTAGCGTGACTGCGTCTGCGTGAGTGATCAAATTGCTGTTCCCTGTGCGAGTTAATGTTAAATGGGCTGTACCATATAGTGTGTGTGTCTGTATATATATATATATATATATATATATATATATATATATATATATATATATATATATATATATATATATATATATATATATATATATATATATATATATATATATATATATATATATATAGTTGGGCCGGACGCTGGTGCTTTCTTCAGTCCAGCAGGTCCCATGATTTGAACATAGGCCTCAGTTTCGCCGGCCCGATTGATCAATCCAGACTAGGTGAGGTTCAGTCACTATTGGCTGGGCAGTCACTACACTATTTTGGCGTGGGGTGTTGGACTGGCCTTCCTTCCCTCCATCGTATTCCACAGCAGCGCTTGTTCTGGAGTAGTGTATATATACCTCCGTGTCCACTTGTTGCTGTGCTTGGTCACGAGCGAGCGAGATCTGCAGGATGGTTGGTCTATGCAAAATTATTTTCTAGCCGCCACGCCTTCTGTTGACAGAGACTGGCGACTTGATGATATTTAAACTCTGGTCCATGTTTCTGATCTACTAATATAAGAGAGCGCTGGCTACCATTCATGTCCATGGCCACGACCCACCATGCTTCTCCTACCTAGCTAGCTCCGCCGGCCGACCCCCTCATCAGGTCAACACGCCGGCGGCCCGTGCTCTGCCGCCGCGCCGCCGTCCGCTATGATGATTCGTATCGTGATCATGTTAGGATCGAATGTGTACCTCTCTGTGTGTAACCGTAGATCGGGGTAGTCCTCTTCTTTAGGGCTTCTCCACTCGCCCTGGGACAGTAGCACCGCAGCGGGTAGACGCCGCTGTAACGGTGTAGATGACGTCCAGCGCGGTGGAGAGACGGCGGTTCGGTGGTGACCCTGTAGTGGTGCGACGGCGGTGGTGGCGGGCTCATCCCGTCGCTGGCAGCACGCTTTAGGATCGGATTAGGGTTTTCTCTGTAGGTGGGTGGCGGCTCCGTTCAACCTCGTTACCCGAGCCCAGTTCCCCACTCCTCTATATATATGTGCTGTGCGACAGGGGCCCACCAACCAGTTAGGGTTGGGCTCCCCCGATCAGGGAGCTGAGGCAAGGGCCCAATAGACCGTTGGGCCTATTGGTGGAGATCAACTAACATTCTCGCCCTTGATCTCATTCCATCTTTCAATTTCATATCATTTACTTTTGTTCATTCCATTACAGATTAGCGCATAGAGCATGTCTCATCGTCCCGGTCCATTGTCGATAGATTTAACAGCTACAACACACTACTCTGTTCTGAAATAGATACTAATCTTTGGGCCTTCTTTTGTCCAGAAATTTTAGGCTTTCCCTTAAACCCATGCTAGCTATATGTTCTCTGAACACCATGTTCTCTGAACATGTTGGGTGGTAAGCCTTTTGTAAGCGGATCCGCGAGCATCCTTTCTGTACTTATATGCTCAAGACTTATGACTTGATCCCGGACTTTATCTTTCACAACATAATACTCTATGTCAATGTGTTTGGCAGCACCACTTGACTTATGTTGTGAGCATACTGTACTGCCAGATTATAATCGCAGTATAACTTTAGTGGTCTATAGATGTCGTCAACCACCTTCAAACCGGGTATGAACTTCTTAAGTTAGTTCACCTGCCCGTTGCCTCATAACACACTACAAATTGTCATACATTGTGGATGATGTAGTCACAGTTTGCTTTGAGCTTTTCCATGAAATAGCTCCCCTTTGCGAGATGATAGAAAATCCATGTCTAGATATGTATTCACTCTCGCATAATCAGAATATGAATATCCCACTATGTGGAGTCAACCAGATCTTCTATACGTTATCATGAGGTCTTTTATTCCTTGCAAATAATGCAAGACTTTCTTTACTAATTTCAGTGTTCTATTCCAGAATTGCTCTGGAATCTACCAAGTAAAACCTGGTAACAAATGCCAAGTCAGGGCGCGTACATACTTGAGCATGTTGCAAGCTTCTGACAGTTGAAGCGTATGGAACCACTTTCACTTTATCGATTGAGCTCATATTGGTTCCTAGGGCATTGAAAATCTCCATATCTGTCGCCCTTGACTATAGGAGCAGGTGAGGGACTACATTTGTGCATACTGAATTTCTTTAAGATCTTTTTCATGTATGCCTTTTGTGACAGTTCTTATACCCTTTTTCTTCTATCTCGGTGAATCTCGATCCCTAGAACGAACGAGGCTTCGCCAAGATCTTTCATATCAAATTTCTTTGTCTCCAGTAGTAGACTGACATCACTACTAGCAAGTAAGATATCATCTACATACAGGACAAGGAAGATAAACTTCCCATTCTTAAACTTTGTATTGACATAATTGTCCTCTACCTTCTCTTTACTTTGTATAGACACAATTGTCCTCTACATTCTCTTTAAAACCCAAACTTCTTTATTGTCTGATCAAACTTCAAGTACCACTGTCTTGAAGCTTGTTTTAATCCATAAATGGATTTCTTTAAGCGGCATCACATTCGTTCTTTTCCTTCCATGACAAAACCTTTCGGTTGTGCCATGTAAACATTTTTCTCCAAGTCTCCGTTGAGAAATGCCGTCTTTACATCCATTTGATGTAATTCTTAATCGTAATGTGCCACTAATGCCATTATGATTCTGAAGGAAACTTTACATGAGACTGGAGAAAAGGTCTCATTGTAATCAATCATTTCTCTTTGCATATAGCCTTTTTCCACAAGTCGCGCTTTATATTTCTCTATATTCCCTTGAGAGCCAAGTTTTGTTCTGTAGACCCATTTACAGCCTACTGTTTTGGCTTCTTTAGGAATTATTTCCAAGTCTTAAACTTTATTGGCATTCATTGATTTCATTTCATCTTCCATGGCCTCAAGCCACTTTGATGAATGATCACTTCTCATGGCTTCTTCAAATGAGGTGCGATCATCCTCCATTTGAAATTTCTTAGTGTTGTACACTTCATAATCAGTAGGAATAGCTGATTTACTAACTTTTTCAGACCTTCTAGGGGCCTCCACATTTGGCACATCTTCTGTTTGAGGCTGTTGTTGCTCCCCCTCATGTGTGACAATAGGTTCTTTAGGATCCTGAAGAACAGGTTCCTCATCGTCATTCATTGTTGCCACAGGTGGGATAACAACAGGTGCTGGCACCACAGTATCTAGTACTATCGGTGTAGCGACAACAGGTAGTGAGAAAATGGCTCATGAATCATTGGAGCGGGCGCATACACCCGCTTCATTTCAAGGTCAATTTCTCGAGCTAGCATGCTCCCCCTCATCAATTCATCCTCTAGAAAGACAGCGTGTCTCGTTTCCATAAACTTTGTCAGTTCCTCTGGATAGTAGAAACGAAAACCTTTTGACTTTTCTGGGTAGCCAAAGAAATGGCACCTTACTGTTTTGGGATCTAACTTCCCAATGTTTGGGTTAAATACTTTAGCCTCAGCAGGGCTCCCCCACACACACGCAAGTGGTTTAGTGAGGGTACTTTTTCTGTCCACAACTCATACGATGTTTTGGGCACCGACTTTCTTGATACTCTATTGAGAATATGAATGACGGTTTTTAATGCCTCCATCCACAGGCTCAACTGTAAGGTGGAGTAACTTATCATACTGTCCACCATATCCATCAGGGTGCGATTGATTCTTTTAGCTACTCTATTCTGCTGAGGTTCGTCCGATGTAGAATACTGGGCTACTATGCCATTCTTTTAGGGTATGCCGACCGTAGTACTCCCCCACGGTCAGACCTGACTATCTTAATCTTTAATATCTTAAATGTATCCAATACATCTTTTCTTTCTTTGATTGGATAAATATAGCCATAATGGGAGTAATCATCTGTGAATGTTATGAACGGATCATAACCATCCACACTCTTTACAGGAAAGTTGACCACAGATGTCTGTGTGAATAATCTGTAGAATTCCTGCGCTTCGTTTGTCATCTTTTCTTAATTCTTTTTACATACTTTCCTTTTATGCATTCTCTACATTGTTCTAAAACTGAGAGCTCTAATGGAGGAAGAATATCATTCTTAACTTGTCTTTCTATTCTCCCCCTCGAAATATGGCCTGAACGATAGTGCCATAATTTTGACAACGCATCGTGAGCTCTCTTATGCCACCATTTCTAGAGTAACACTCTGTCACCAGCTGCTTTATCAGCTGAGTAGCATATGTCTTTGAAGTGTCAGTGAACTGACTCTTTATTCTATCGAGGTACTCGGTGACCATGTCACATTCTAGGATTGAGCCCATAATTGCAGGTTCAATCATGTTCTTTATCACAGCCAAACATTTCTTGTTGGCAGTGACCCACTTTCTATGCTCAAAAGTCATAGGACATCTTTTGGGATTCAAAATCCCTTTCTTTAGTTGCCCAAGTGGCATCATTCTCATTTGTCTCCCTCACCGGTGCCACAAACTCAGTGGAACACGGTGAGGTGACTACCTAGTTCACCTTAGACAAGATGAAAAACTAGGTTAAAACTTTTCTTAACATAAAATAACATCATTTGCATGCCTTGATTCCAACGTTGGTCAAAATCAAAACATACAATTATTCTTATATACTAATTCTACATCACCGTTGGGCAGAAATATCAATGCATAAATCATTAAAATTATGATATTGTTATTAACAACGTTGGTCAGAAAATAACAACATCATAATCATATCAAAACTTTTTTTTCTCCAATTAAATACCACATTGGTTCAAAATAACTGGAGAATCAATAATTTCTTTAGTAGCGGAA